CTACATGTGCCCAATAACCTGGTTTAGTGCTATCCCAATGTCGTCTTTTATAATTATCAATTATATGAGGAAAATAAGCCAAATCAGACACTATAAATGAAAAAGCCAATCCAAACCATATAAGTAATAAAATAATTACTAAAATGAGCCGATATTTAGCAATCTTATGATTATTCATAGCTCTCGCTAATAGGCTATTAGCAATTGGATCGCATATAAAGCCACTCAATACAAGACTAGCACTCAAACAGTGTATTATTAGGACAAACATTCCCTCCGCTGCCCTAAAACAAGAGACAATAAAACAACCAACGGATACATTGTATGCACAAAATGCTGACCAAATGTTTAACCATTTGATTAATTTTAATCTACGGTCACCTAARTTATGGTGATTTTTAACATAAATAGTAATCATATCGTAACGTATTTTCATAAATACTAGAAAAATAAAGCCATTTAAACTCATCATCAATGAAAATACTGATGCACCGGGCGGTACGGTGCCCACATCGCTTATGTAGGGCAGTATGGGCTCAATTTGACCATGCAACAATGCTAACAGCAAACTAAATTATATGTATTAGTATTTAAAATAAACAATTTTATTTTATTTTACAAAATAATAATCATACTTACACTATGATAAGTAAAACTAAATTATTAATACTAAACAAATAAATAAGAAAATGTAATTTAAAATTCATTATATTCTTTGCTTTATATTAAATTTTCAGACAACTTGAATAATGTTTAAAAACAAAATAAAGTTATTTATATATAAATAATTTGAATATATGTTATATTTATTATATTTACTAACTGTACCTTATTTTTATAACAAATGTTTTAATGAGAAAATAACGTGCAGTTTTGTAATATTTTTAAGTTATTAAAGATTATCAAAATAGATACATATATTAATTTATTATGATATATACAAGTATTTATACATTTGTAGTGATGGACCAATTGCAAAATGCGCAATTGCATTGCTATGAAATTGCGTGAAATTGCCGCAATTGCGAAGATGCCGATTGCGAAAATCGCAATCGTATAGTAGCGCCATCTATTTTAACAATAATAAATTGTTTAAAAAATAAAACACATGTTATTATGTAGTTTAAAAATGGATAAAAATAAATCAGTGGTTTATAATTATTTTAATTTAGTTGACACAAAGTATAATTGTAATTATTGTGGCAATTATTTAGTCAAAAATGCTACACGAATGAGAGAACATTTACTAAATGCATGTAAAGGATGTCCACCACAAGACGTGTTATCAACCCTTAAAGTAGAGATTAAGACTAAAAATCTCAAACGTAAAGGTAATTATATCTTCAGTAGTATAGTGGTTAATATCCCATTTATTACAGTAACTGACGATTCAACTGAATCATCGGAGTCATCTCAATCACGAAAGGATGTTCCATCGTTTGTGGACTCAATAACTAAAAAAGATAATGATGACCTCAAGCTTTTATGCGCAAAGTTTGTGTACTCGTCTGGAAGTGCTTTTAGTCTAGTAGAGAACCAAGAGTTCATCCAATTCATTAAAAAATTGAGGCCATCATTTAAAATACCATTAAGAAAAGAATTGTCTAAAGAATTGTTAGACACAACATATTCAATGGTCTGCATAGTATAGTGGTTAATATCCCATTAACAAATTTATTTTTAGGTTAACTCTCACAACAATTCATTAATTACAAATACTAATTCGTTTGTTATAATCATCGATGGCTGGTCAAATATCAGAAATGATTCAATAGTTAATATTTGTGTTTGTTTGCCAAAACCTATTTTTTATAAAAGCATTGATATGGAAACTCGAAGACATTCAGGAGAAGAATTGGCTAATATTACTGAAGAAGTTATTAACGAATTAGGTAATAATATTTAATATATATATATTTTTGGGGTACTAACCATTATACTACTGAATATTTTTTTAGGTGTTAACAAGTGTTCAGCAATAATTGCTGATAATGCACGAAATATGTCAAATATGTCACAACGTCTTAAAGAAAAATATCCACATTTGTTGACATTTGGTTGTGTTGCTCATATACTAAATCTTTTAAGTCAAGATATCTGCACAAGTGTGACATATTTTAATGAGATACTTAAGATAACTCGTTCAATAACTGTAGAAATAAAAGATTCTCATTTAAAATTGGCGTTATTTCGTAGATTAGCAAAAGAGAATAAAATCAATTCACTAGTATTAGGGAGCAACACACGGTAAAAATTATTCTTCAGTAATATAGTGGTTAATATCCTATTTTAATCTTTAGATGGTATTCAAATATTAAACAAATGAAACGAGTTTTTAATGGAAAAGAAGTGCTACAAAAAATGGCAATCGATTCCTCAATTAAAATAAATGCTGACATCAAAAAGTATCTCTTGGATACAAATGACAGGTTTTGGACGGATCTGATGACAACAATTAATGTTTTGAATCCAGTTGCAGATGCAATAGCAATCATTGAATCAGATAAAGCAACACTTTCCGATACTATTATTGTTTTTAACAACATATATACATCTATTTTAAACTCATCAATTGATTGCAATATGAAATCTCAGGTTATCTTCAGTAGTATAGTGATTAATATCCCAAAAATTATGTTTTAATAATCTTTTTTTATTTTAGATTTTAAATCATTTCACTAATCGCAAACAAATGGCAGTTTCTGATGCTAATTATTTAACAAATATTCTTGATCCAAGATATAAAGGATTGGATTTGACCGATGAAGAGAGATTTTCGGCAAATAAATATCTCTACGATTATATTGATTCTATTGGTTTTTCAGATAAACTTACAGATATCAAAATTGCATACAACGATTATAAATCAAAAAATGGTAATATTTTTATTTTTGGGGATCTAACCACTATACTACTGCATATTTTTAGGGTTTTTTGCAATTGATTCATTGTGGATAAATATTAAAAATGTGATTCAATGGTGGACTGAATTCAAGGAATATAAGAAATATAAGGATTTATCTAATATTGCAATTAGATTATTGTCAATCCCTCCATCATCTGCTGCGGTTGAGAGAGTGTTTTCAAGTTTTGGAGACATTCATACTAAAAAACGTAACAAATTGACAAATGAAAGAGTTGCCAAATTAGTTTCAATACGTACACATTTTAAATGTATTAATAATAATTTAGAAGATTCATCTGAATCAGAAAATGAGTCTTAATTTTATATGATATAATAAATATTAATTCATTGATTATATGTGCAAATTTTATTAAATTTTTATACATTCCCTCATGCGCGCAATTTCACGCAATTTCACGCAATTTTCCGCAATTGCGGCAATCGAAAATTGGATTGCGTAAAATTCCCAACACTATACATTTGTAAATAAAGAAATTCATTGAATTACAGAAAATTAAAATATTATTTGAGAAAATACTTGTATAAAAATTTTGTTTAAATTAAAACGGGGGAGAAATACAATGGTATGAAATGTAAATATTCTTCAAATTAATATAATTTTTCAATGACATCAAATATTAAAAATATATACACATAAAAGCTATTATTGTTTTTAATACTGTAGGTATGAGTAAATTAATTAAAAATTGTTAAGTTTTGCCTCTGAGGCTACAAAAATATTATTGTATATTAAATATAATTTATAAGATGTACACTTGATTTAGATATATTAAATTTTAAAAATGCATTTTTAATTAATTTGTCAACAATTGATAATTACAATAATTATACATTAGATTAAAAATATGAGTTCTGTGTTTGTATTTGTCTTTTTAGTTAATGATAAAGAAAAAAATTWAAAAAAATAAGTGTGTATACTTATGTAAATCTGTTACTAATAATAATATTATTTATTTATTTAGTTGTTTTTAATTTTTAACATTTAATTTAATTACATAAAATGTTTWGWATWGAATTCATATTTAAAAGACGYTAATSTAATGGGTTTTGTATTTTTTAGCTGCAAGTGATCGACACATTAATTATGAGATAAATAATATTTATTTGTCGATTGTATGTCTCAAACTGATYCACACATAACAMCTGACATTACATAAACACTCATATTGTTTAACTCTTACGGTTGTCTCAATCTATACATTCCCTGTTATACAACCACACCTAACGGTTACAATAGACAGGATCACAATCTGATTCATGACATCTAGCCGTAACAATTGGGAAGATAATACAGATCCTTATCCACTGCACTGCCCAATACTCTGTCCTTACAGTAACAATATTTATCATTTTTATTAACTATAYTTTATTTATATAATAAATGTCAAATAATAACAAAAACATTTAAATGACAAAATATTGTGCAGTTTTATAGTCAGTATTTTTTTATTWATAATTAWATCTAATTCTTTACAGTTCTTTTAAATAGATATTTTATAYATAAATTTATTWTAWTATGATATATTTGTAATATGTATACAATATACTGAATATTTATAAATAAAATWATTAAATAWGACTTTTAATGAAAAAATAATTGAATATATTATTTTTATTTRGTTATATAATATTTATTATCAGTAATTTCTTATATCAACATTGTTTTCATACACAATGTAAGATATTATGTATTACAATATMATTGCTAAGTAATTAAATTACACCATATTTTTATTATTATTAATAGATGACAAAATAACACATTTTCATACATTTTTATCGAAAATTTAGTACTTTTGTCTAAAATTTAATTTTATTATTTATGATTAGTGATATTTACTTATCAATTTAAAATTAATAAGAATATTAAACTTTTTTTTACTAAAACTTATTTATAAAATTATTTTTTAAATATCACAAATTTAAATTACATTTTATTTTACAAAAATATTGACTTTTATATATATACAAAAATAAATTAAACATTTTTTCATTATTTAAAACTTATTTATTAAAAAAGTAACAAAAGTTTAAATAAATATAAAAATATTGAGCGCTTTTACATCAAAATTATTTAAATATCATTTTTGCTATTATATGCAACTGTTGTCTCATTTTGATTGACATCTTTGTAAACAATTAATGTCTTTGAGAGTGAGTATTGTTTGAAGTCCCGCGCGTAGGTCAGGACATACGGACACCAAATAAATGCTATAAACCATTCAAATAGTGCTGATATGACATGAGGTATATAACCCGGTTTACTACTATCCCATGCCATGCGGTTAGCATTTTCGAGAATTTCGGGATAGTATTGTATCAGTGATATCAGTCCCGTAAGTCCGGACACTGAATTGACAAACAGGTTGACAATAGTCAGTATAAACCGATATCTACCGGTTCTCTTGTCTGACATAAGATATGCTACTTTGCTTTGCATAGCCATATCAATGATTGAGCCCATAAACAGAGTAGCGGCGACCATACAGTGCACCGATTGTACTAAAAACATTTCGGCCGATCTAAAGTTACCGATCATTACGGCTGAACCCGATGTTATACAACCCGATATTAGTGACCAACGGCTCCACCGTTTAATAGCCACTAAGTTATCGCCATCAATGATATCTTTATGAGCAATAGACAGTTTGATTATATCATATCTAATTTTGGCTAACATTAGTAACATAAATCCAATCACATTCATCATCAATGAGAACAGTGATGCACCGGGAGGTACAGTACCCACATCGCTTATGTAGGGAAATATTGGCACCACTTTGCTCTGACATACGGCTAAGATCCATCTATATAAAAGTAAAGTACATTAGTATACATAAGTCAATTATTTTATATACGGTATATCATATATTATTTTTTTTAAATGATAACTAATTTTGTTGCTTATTATTAATATTAACTAATTAAAAGTTAATAAATATTTTTGATTTGACTTTAATAGAGGACAGCACTTAATACTGTATCAWGTTTTCAATRYATTACAGTCTACTGTTTCTATTAAACACTTGACTATTAAAACAATATGTTTGGCATTAATATTGTATATTGTTTTTCAAAATGAATTGAATATTATTTTCCTTAAAAGTTCCGCAATTATATGACATTTAAAATATGACATATTTAAAAAAAATTATTTTATATTATTTTAATATACCTAATAATATACTAAATATTATAATAAAGTTTACAATTAATCGATATTTATAACTAGTTTGTAATAATAATAATAACATAAAATAAAGTTTACTTACATTATAAAAGGAAATACCAGTGCAGATGCAGACATAAAATATAACAAATAGTGTAATTTGATCATGATAACTTATTATTATTATTATTATTATTATTTATTAATTAATTAACAATCATATTTTGCGATTGCGTGAATATGACATTAAAGTTATTTTTAATGTTTTATAGTAATTTTAAACTGATATATATATATATAAATAATTTTTTTATTGATTGTATCAATAAAATTAGTGAATACTATAAAGTGAAAAGTGATTTTTCAATTTATATGTAAATAATGAAAAATTATTGTGTATTGAAGTGATAGAGATATGTATTTATGTTTGAATACCTTTTCAGATGGGGAAAGTTGTTGTAAAACCAGTTTTCTGTGATAATTAGCTTATTACTCAAAAAATYATGCTGAGCGCAGGTATGTATGTTTGGGAGACAACCTTGTGGTCATCGCATGAACATCAATCACCCCTTATATTTATAAATTAATTTTATTATTAAAATAAAATTAAACAAAAATAATTCAATAGTAATTTTATACAACAATAAAGGATTCACAATAATTGTCACAATTATTGTATTAAATAAATAAATATCTAAAAAACAAATCAATCATAAATTCAGATAATAATTGGATAATTAACAATATTTTATCACAAGATAGAGTTATAAATATCTTATATTAAACTTTAATTAATTAATAAATATAGCTAACTTAACAATTTGTCCCCGATACAATAACATTGTATACAGTAATACTGTTGTAATAATAATTAAAAGTTTTCTACTAAAATTACTAAACAATGTTAAAATATCAGGAACAATTTGTTAACTTAATTATATTTGTCAATGAATTAGTAAAGTTTAATTATATGTYCATAGATTTTGTTGTATATATTTTTCATGTGATTAATATGATATAAATATTATAATTGTAGATAATTAAATTTGCAATATAAGCACTAATTTTAATGTTACATATTATAATAATACATAATAATAATCATCTAAATTATATTTCATTAACAAAATTAAGTTTATTCAATAGTTTTGAGTTCATTTAAATTAATATTATTAGAGTTATTACAATTTGTTTTACAAATTACTAATTTTTCGTTTATTGTATAGACTTTAAACTGTGATATAAATGTCCAAAAATATGGACAATAAGTTAATATTAATATCCATTCGCAAACAGTGGACAATATATGAAACGCATAACCATTTTGACTACTTTTCCATTTAAGCCGATTCTCTGTTGCCATAAACTCTTGCAATTCGGGCGGTGATACCATTGCAGCCCAACCGGCAAATCCTAACACCGCTATAAGCATTGTTATGACTATTATAGCCATTGCTAGTCTTAATCTACCAGTGCGTCGATCGGACATTAAATTTGCTACACGACTTTGAAAATACATATCGCAGATAAATGCTATGAAGTTTATCAAAGCACTGATTCCGTGGACAGTTAGCACTAGTAGTGTTTCCGATGCCCTAAACGAGGCCACCATAATGATACCCAACGACATACAGATCCCGGTTCTTAGTGAATGTTTATTTAAGGATTTCAAGTCTCGAATTGTTTGATCCGTTAAATTATTATTAGATATAATATTTTCTTTAATGATCTCATATCTAATTGTTGTAAATATTAATAACAAAATTGCTGCAAAAATTAGCATCAAAGTGAACAGTGATGCGGCCGGTGCTGTCACACCCATATCACTAATATATGGTAAAAATGGTTCAAAATGTTGCAAACTTATACCCAATGGCCATCTGTAATGTAATTTTATATTAAAGAACATAAAGATTAAGATTTTAATTATTATGTTAATTATAAAAATTAATAATAATAATAATTTTACATACAAAATTATGGGTAATAAAGCAACACTAATAATCATAAATATGATAAAATAATATAAATTGAATTTCATTTTTATTAATACTAACTAATAATAATTACGGAAAATAAATGAATATTGCAATAAATGTGCATTAATTAGTTCATATTAATGCATATAATATTTAATATTAACTATTTGTATAGAAAATAGTATATTGAAAGACAAATTTTTTAGTAAAAACATTTTTATTTAATAATATTATTAAACAGAATATTATTTATTAAAATCAATRACATCTGATAAAATTATTAATAAAATAATTACGATTAACTCATAAATATTATATATAAAATAAATAATTATAGTATAAAGTTTATTTGATTGTAAATGATTTTGAACTTAATTTTAAAATTAAGTACATTTTCATTGATAAACACAATTTATTGCATTGATATWATATCAAATGATATTTTCAAAACACAGCATTTAATTATATTGCAATAATTTTATTGAATAAAAATATATTAATTTTGATTATCTCCTATTTTTATGGATTCAATGGTATTATCTTTGTTAACAATAATAGGCTTTGAAATGGAGTATCTTTTAAATAGCGATACAAATGTCAAAATATATGGCGATATCATAAAGATAAGTATCCACTCCAGTACTGTAGACATGACATGCGGTACATATCCGGGTTGACTACTGTTCCACATAAGTCTGACATTTTTATCCTTAAGAGCCTCGGGATAAACTAGAAATGACCAAATAGACAGTGCATTGTAGGCAACCGCCAGTACTAATGCTATGGTGCAAAGTCCACAACGAAATCTACCTGTGCTTCTGTCACGCATATTAAAAGCTGCCCTACTTTGCAAACCCATATCACAAACAGTGGACAGAAAACCTAAAACTGCACCTAAATTATGGACAAATTGTATGACTGGACTTTCAGCGTTACGAAAGTTGGCCACAATGCCGAACCCAATGGACATACATATACCACTAACGAGTGACCAATTGTTTACTTTTCTGACACTATTTTTAATATTATCGTTTGGGTTGACATCAAATAATTGATGTGTTTTTATTGATTCGTATCGAATGAGAGTAAACAACATTAGAAGAAATGCCCCGAAATTCATCATAAGTGAGAATAGCGACGCCTCCGGTGGGGTCACACCTAAATCACTGACGTATGGCAGTAGAGGTTCAATATGACCCAAGTATACAGATATTGACCATCTATTACAGTAAAATGCATTCATTTAATTAATTTCTAAGATTACTTTATTATTAAATTTATCATTACTTACAAAATAAATGGTCCAAATACTATGTTAATAACCATTAAAATTGGTAAATAATGTAACTTATTATATTTAATTGTCATTTTAAGTTCATATCACTCTTATTATGATATTTTTAATAATTAAAAATCTGGCAATAACTTATTAAATAATAGTATTTTTWAAAATATATTTATTAAGTACAGTCATGTATATATCAAAAGTTATATTAAACTAAATAATAAGTTTAAATAAAGTTTGATATTCATTATATTAGTTTCAAAACTGCTAACTAATTACATATTAATTTTATTAACAAATACACATAAAAACATATTAAAAATTAATGTAAAAGTATTATTTGAAAATTAAATTTAACCAAATTTCATTTAGATAAATAAATTACAAGCTAAATGTGAAACAAATAAAATAATAGTTATAACATAACTATCATTAGATCATAATTATCTATTGGATTCAATGTCATTATCATTTTATTAAACATGCTATAATATACTGTACATTATTAGTATTTTTCCATTTTATATGATTACAATATAATTTATTATTGTTATCTAAAGTATTATCATTTTAAAAATCGATGAATTTATATATATATATACCTGTATATATTAGTTAATTGTCAAATAATAAAATTATTGTTTTTATTAGTAAAAGGTTTACAATATTAATATAAGGTATAAATGACAGTTTAGTAATAATTAATTTAATAAAAAAAAGTGGAAAATCTTTTGCAAATAAAATTGTACTTAAATATCTATAAATTTAAATATATAATTTTTCTAAAAATTATTTATAATTGTACGGTAATGATATGTAAAAAATATATTAATTATTTTTAATAATATTATTAATAATTAATAATAACAATATTTTTTGCAATATTTTTTAAATAAAATACAATACTATTAGATAATATATTTAGTTGTATAATACTTCATTTATAATATCAAATTATGAATATTATTTTTATTATAAATTGGCAATAAGGAAAAACAGATAAAAACAAAACATTAATAACCTTGATTAATAAAATTATTTTATTTTGTTTGTTATCATATTTAAAGTTTGGCATATGATATATTATTACTAATTAAATACTGTAACTAACAAATTACCTATTTTATATTTGTATTTTCCGGCATAAAAATAACTAATCAATTAATATAATAAAATATAGATTAGGTTAATAAAAAAATATCAATAGTAAATTTTACATTATTAAAGTTATAAATAGCATTAATAAATACGGTATAGTTAGATAACTTCCTATTTTATTTATTTATATAAATTATTAATCAATAAATGATTAGAAAAAAGTTTTGTAACAGATTTTATCATCAAATATTTGATTATTTAGATTTAAACAATAGTATTGTAGAATTATAACATTTTCAATGCATTTAATCAAAATATTTTTCTTGTTTTCTATATTGACATCAAGTATTGTTTGTCGTAAGTCATGCATTGAACAGTACTGCACYTTAACATTGAAAATAGCAACAAATTTTGTCGTCAAAAAACTTAATCCCTAACTCTCGACCACAAGTTTGGTTGGAAGTTGCGATTCAAGCGGGTGTCATAATAATGTATTTTCTTGATCCAGGTGTGCAATTTTAGGCWTAAATCTATTGCGTACGGAACGGTGTTGTATGGTTTGATCAATACTGATATTATTAGAAATTACTCATAATCTAATTATTTATTAWTAATAATTAACTAAATTTATATATACTATTGTTATATATATATTTAATATTCTAACATTAAATTATACAATATGTCATTTTGTTATATTAAATAATTTATATATTTTTCAAGAAAATTTAATRCAAAAAATAAARATTTTATTTAATATATTAGTAAATTAAATATATAAAGCAGTCCTAYAGTATTTAAGTACTTTTATATGTATTACTGTAATTAAAGTTAGAGATTATGTAAATTTTGATACTATGATSTAAATTAAACGCAATGATATACAGTACARTACAAACTTAAAACATCAATTTATTGTATTGATAAATGTTTGAAACAATTACAAATGTATTTTAAAGTAGRTAWGTAAGCTTTAAAAAWTTTTTTTAAATGTTAAAGTAAACAAAATATTGCAGTATTTATGAAATTATTAAAATTTTCATATAYGAACTTTCTATAAATACATTTAAATAAATCMATTAAAATTTTAACACTATTTGATAATAAAGCTTAAGTATAGCACCGGTAGATCAAATTGAACAAACACCTGCACAGTTCCAGTCAAGTTTGCACTGTTCGTCCTCTTTGCACGAAACATACCTAAAGTCTAATGAATAACCCTGTGTTGTATAACACCATTCGTTTTGAATTAATCCCATTCCCAGACCCGTACAACGGGCCCAACAAAAGTGATTACTACAACCATAGCTCATACCTCGTCCATTGAGATCAGGATTKGTGCCAACATTAGGCTGTGTTTGTCTACTTGTCATTGGGTCTGATGTATAATAATAAACATAATTTGTTAATCAAATTAATAATTTAATAAAACAAAACTTACTACAAACTATATAGTTTATAATCAACAAAAAACATAAACAAAATAAAATAAAATGTCTCATGTTTTAGTTTATTTGTAAAAAATTAACAAATAAAACACAATTTTAAAATTATAACTGAATTTATATAGATATTTACCAGGAACATTAAATAACTAGGTGATATCATAGTTTAAGTCATAGTACAGTGAACCGGGATATTAATTTTACATTGTATTGTATATAAAATTAGCATTTTAATTTAATAAACTATTCAAATTTTTAATTATTTAATTTATAGCTATATAAAGATTTTATCTAAAAATTAATAAATATATAGTTTTCTGATGTTGTTGATTGAATTAGTTAATTTATAATATTAATAATAATACTAAATATTTTTGAACAATAAATCAAATAGATTTTGTGTTGCATTTAAACTTTATTATTATTATTTCAATTTTTGAGGAACAATATATTGTATGGAACGGGAGCTAACTTTTTCGTGTAGATATCCCTCCGATATAAACATATTGATAGGAATYCGTTGTGTATATTGCATATTAGCCGAAACTCTCATGTATTTCGGTAATGGTTTTCCCAAAGCTATTATTAGTTCAACATTATATTCATTGGGATCGACTCGTATGGTTTCGCTAGCTTTTTGTTGATCAAACCCAGTCATCGGAAGTACCGCTAATCCACGTGCTGTGGCCTCCAATGCCATTGACATCCACGCGGCTCCGGCATCCAGACTATGGGATGGGATAAACATTTTCTGATTTTTATATTCCATGTATTTACTCGAAACCAACATTATTAACACCGAAGCGTTAGCCGAGTTGGCCTGATTTCGTGGCGTAAGTAAGTCATAAAATGGTTGCCAATAGAGAGAATCACGTTTGGCGTAAACAAAACGCCATTCCTGTGCGTTAAAGAAAGAGGGCGTCCAACGGGAGGCTTCAAACACTGACTTCAGTTCACTATCTGTGACCGACTCTCCTGACATCCGCTTAGAGCTCATCCGRTTTGGGAACAGCTTTAGTATCGGATAATCTGTTATTCTTTGCTATTTAGGATAAGATTAAGAAAACAGTTTTAAATATTAAATATAATAAAAATATTAMTAAATATCTTTATATTATTTTATTGTTATTAGTTATTTACAATATAAATATTATTTATTTTTTATTTTTWWAAAAACATTACTTTTAAAACTTCATTATCGTACTGATAGTTATTACTATCGCGTTTATAGATTTGTACGGTTGCTAAATTAAAAATAGAAATCAGCAAGTTAAAAAAATATTTTTAAATTAATAAAACATCTGATAACTTACCAGCTGATGATACAGCAAATAAAATTATTAAATTAAGTAAAAAACAAATATTTGCATTAGTAATGATCATTGTGTACAATAATTACTAAAATTATTTGAACAACTCGTCAAAAATTATATTCTATACTTTTTTCACATAATAAATCATTAAATCATTAAATTTTTATTTTATTTTTTTAATTATTCTGGTTGACAATGCGGGATTATAAAATTAATAAATTAATAAATTTTCATTAACAAAAAAATAATTAAAAATATTACTATAATTTTATAATTATGTACAATTTATATATACCTTAAATAAAATATGTCCAACTGTTTGAGTACAATAACTTCAAGGTTTGAATTATTAAATGTTATTAATGTAACCCATTTCATACTAAAAGTTATTGCTATTTTATAATTTGGTTTTCTAAACAAATATAATAATTCGTGATATTTGTCTTAAAATTTTAGTTGAATGATTTCAATTGAATCGATAATTTTGATATATTAAAAATTAGAATTATAAATACACTAACAATAGTTATAAATTAAATTAAACAATCATTCTATTTAATTGCTATTTATTTTTAATAAAAAGTACAACAAAATTATTTGAATGGGTTTTTACATATGTTTACATTTAATCATAAAATATATTACATACATAACATAAAATTTAGTTTCTATCTAAACATCACATACAAACACATAAACTAAAATTCTAATTTATTATAAATTAATTTATTTACAATTATATTGATGTAAAAACAACATGATCTAATATTAACCTAACTAATGTCAATTAACCTGAGATAGTTAATGATATTTCTAACATGCTTAAATTAATTACGATAATAATGAATAGGGATCTATTGATTTAATTTGATAATTGTTTAAACTATTTTTATCATTGTTAATGATGTTATGGTCATGTGTTGATATGGGGTTACTTAATGCATGTATGGCATCGGTATTATGATAGAGTTGAAACATAGGATCCGGATGGTACGGGTAGTCTATACCATATAAGTTTCTATATGAGTCCATATATCCATTATTATAAGGATCAAGTGATATGTGTATTGGTTTGAGATATGGTATTGGTATCGGTATTTTAATCACGTTTTCAGCATCACTTGAATCGTGCTCTTGATGTTTGTGGTTGTCGTCATCATCATCGAGATAATGGTCTTTATAACTGTGCTTTTTATCA